TCTCCTCCCATTCTGGAACACCCATGACTTGGATGTTTGTGTGCACTTAATGTTGCCTGCTAGCTGTTATTGATTTTCTCAAATTGTCTTGATTCTTTTTTCTTTTTTTTTTTTTGTCCACCTGGGTTGTTTCAAAAATACCATCATCAAGATCAGAAGTTCTTTCTTCTGCTTGTTCTAGCCTGCTTTTTAAGCTCTTGGTTGTGTTTTTTATTTCATTGAGTGAATCCTTCAGTTATAGTTGTTCTGCTACACTTTTTTAAGGTATTAATCTCTTTGTAAATTTCCTCCTTCAAATCCTGCATAGTTTTTCTCATATTGTGTTGTTTGAGTCTTCTCTTATCTCATTAAGTTTCCTTAAGATTGTTGCTCAGAATTTCTTTTTAGTTGTTTCAAATTTCAAGAGTTTCTTGCTCTGTGGGGTCTGGTACTTGGGAATTATTATATTCCTTTGGTGGTGTCATGTTTTCTTGTTTTTTTATATTTCTAGTATCTCTACATTGATGTCTGGCCTTCTGGTAGAACAGTTGCTTCTTCTATTACTTTGGAGTGGGCTTTGAGGAGAGAGACTTCCTTCTGTAGACATGTTTTATATTGACTGTTGAGTAGGTTGTTTTCACATTGCTTCTGGGTTGATATAGTAGTGTAGTCTCTGTGTGGGCACTTTGGCCATATTTAGTGTTGGAGTTGTGTGTGAGTCCCTCCATGGCCTAGGCACTGGGGCACTTAGTGATTCCTTGCTGAGGTTAGTGACACTGTTGGTTTGTTGAGGACGTGGGTGAGCTCTTGAGTTCTTGGGAGAAGTGATTGGGTGCCCTGTCATTCTTTAGCTGGGGAGGGTGACCGTGGGTGGGTTTGCTGACAACCTGGCTACTGTCCTGTTACCCTGATGGGTGCAGTGAGGTATATTGAAGCTCCCCAGTTTGAATGGGTGGATTTCTGTTTACTACAGGCAGAGGCTCCTCCTGGGTTCTTGGTTCCCCTGGTTGGGGGATGGGTTGGTGGTGGTTGGAAATTTTCTTTCTTTTTTTTTTCCTTTTTGTCTTTTTTCATGACCGGCAATGGATCGCAACCCTCAGTGTCGCGCCCGTACCGGACCGGGACCGGCAATGGGATCGCAACCATCGGTGTTGCGCCCACACCTCGCTCAGCCAGTGAGCGGCCGGTCTGTATGTGGGATCCGAACCCTCGACGGGAGCGCCGCTGCGCTCCCAAGCGGCGCACTGCAGCAGTGCGCCACCGGGCTGGCCCCGGAAATTTTCTTTCTTACTCTATTTGGCTATCCTGGGTTTCTGCACTCTCCAAGGGTTCCATGTGTGTCTGTCCTCAGATCAAGGCCGTCACATGGGCTGCACATGTATCTTCCACCCCCAGATGTGCTACTGCATTTGGCAGTGTAATTCCCACTGTGGGCTGAGCCCCTGGGTCACTGGTATGTATTTGCTCACCTCTTTCCCCAGGCCCTGCTGGTGACTCTCCTTGTGTCAATGCAGTTGAGTGGTTGGTGGTCTGCCTGCATGGTGGTAGTGTTTGGTGCTGTGGTGGTGAGCCACCCTCATGGTGGTAGTGGCTGTTGTGGTTCACCCATGCAGCAGAGGTGTCTGCAGCAGTAGTGGGATCTGCCTGTGGCTCTTGAAGTCCCTGGGTGTGCTCCTGCTGTCTGTTGGGGCAGGGGCTGCCTGTGGCTCATGAATTCCCCAGGTGCGTTTTTGCCTTCTTGGTTTGCATATTCTAAATCCTGCGTTTTTCTTTGTTTATTAACTGCAGTATAGAGAAACTTTCCTTCATCAAGTATTTGGTTATCCTGTAGTATAGTTTGTACAAGAAAGACTGACTAAATGCTTGATTTTTGCCCTTTAATTAGCAATTTTCAGAATGATGAGTTGGTTCCCTAACACCCTTAAACAGTGACCAATGGGTTTTTTTAAAAAAAGTATTATGACAAACTGACAGATTTTAACATATTTAGTCAATTTTAATCTATCGTTGTTATTCTTATTGATCTTTGGCCTACTGTTAGGAGTGTCTTTATGTGGTTCTGTTTTTTTTAATTTTTGCATCAAATAGTTTTATTTGATTTCTGATATGACAAGATGGGCAGGCTCCTCTTGTATATTTTCTGTCCTAGATCTGGAGTCAGCTTGGTATTCTTCCAAGGACCCCTGTTTCCTTTTAATAGAGAATGTTATTTAGAAATCATGATCTAAACATTACAAGTGCTCATAGTTACTGCATTGGTCATTATTTCTAGACCTTTTTAGTGGATGGAGCTATAAAATACATTTTTTTTAAAAAAGAAAATACATAGTGAGTTTATGCTTATATTTACAATTGATATTTATGATTATAGTGTTTTACTTAGCTTTTTTGATTTTATAGTTGTATCTTTTTTCTCTGGAGCCAGCAATCTTTGTCTGCTCCACCCTGTTCCATCCTTTTCTTTGTAGATAATCATGTTATTTTATTGTTTATCCTTTTGATTTTTAAATATAAGTAAATAGGTACATACTTATATCCCCCACACCACTGTTTCTTAGATAAATGGTAGCATTCCATATATACTCGTCTCCACTTGATTTTTCTCTCATTTAACATTATATCCTAGGGATCACTCCATAGCAGTATATAGAGATATTCCTCATTTTTTATACCTACAAAGTATTCAGTTGGTGCATGTACTTTATTATATTCAACCAGCCCCCCTTGATGGACATTTGGGTGCTGCAGTGAATTGCCTTGTGCATATGTCTTTGCCAATTTTAAGGCTATTACTCTTAACCATTTCTATTTTCACTCTCATGGTTAACTTCAAGTATCTTAATCATATGCTTGTGTCACTGTATTAGTTTGCTAGGGCTGCCGTAAGAAAATATCACAGACTGGGTGGCTTAAACAACAGAAATTTATTTTCTCACAGTTCTAGAGGCTAGAAGTTCAAGATCAAGGTGCTGGCAAGTTTTTTTTTTTTTTTTTCCTGAGTACTCTCCTTGGCTTGCAGATGTCCTTATTGCTTTGTCCTCACATGATCTTTCCTCTGCATGCTCATTCCTAGTGTCCCTTTGTGTGCCCAAATGTTCTCTTGTTATAGGACACCAGTCAGATTGGATTAGGGCCCACCCTAATGGCCTCATTTTAACTTAATCATCTCTTAAAGGCCCTATCTCCAAATACAGTCACATTCTGAGGTACTAGAGGTTAAGGCTTCAACAAAAAATTGGGGGGGAATGTAATTCTGCCCATAACAATAATTAATTCTTGATTTATCAGCTTTATATATGATCTATTTGTTTGCCGTTTTGATGAGGATTTATCTCGTATCATCTTACATTACCTCCTCCTATACACCCTCTCAATTTTTGTTAGTTATACTATTTTTAATTTCTCTTATGGCAACCTTTTAAAACTTTAAATAATATATTTAAAATTTTATTTCTTTTTCTATCAGTTTTGGAGATTGTATCTTTTTTTTTTTTTTGTCTTTTTGTCCTTTTTCATGACCAGCAACGGATCGCAACCCTCAGTGTTGCGCCCGTACCGGACCGGGACCAGCTACGGGATCGCAACCCTCGGTGTTGCCCCTGCTCCTCGCTCAGCCAGTGAGCAGCCGGTCTGTATGTGGGATCCGAACCCTCGGCGGGAGCGCCGCCGCGCTTCCCAAGTGGCGCACTGTAGCAGTGCGCCACCGGGCCGGCCCTGGAGATTATATCTTTACTTTCCACTTTGTGAGGATACCTTCCAGTTTCTGTCACCTTTAACATTTGCATTTTGGGCTTTGTTGATCCCAAAGCATGAAAACATGTTATTGATTGTGACTATTATTTAACTCTGTGGATAATAATTTTATTTCTCTTTATGTTTCAATCTGCTAACTCTCTTAAATTCTATTTCCTCAGGTATTTTTCTGTTTGGAGATTGTGATGTCCTTTCATGGTATTGGTTTCCCTCAATTGTTTGGTAATTCTTGTTCATATTTGATTTGAAATTCCTTGATAGTCTTCTGTGAATATTGTGTCACACTATTTACTATAGCCTGAATCCAGTGACTGAAGGAGAGGTAGGATTGGGTATTTTGCATTGACCTGTGTTGTCAGCCACCTGAAACTCTATTTCTCTCCAGCCCAAGCGACTGTATTCACTGTTCCTTACTTGGGGTGGGGGAAGATACCTTTTGGGGGCAGGCCAACTGCCTGATGCTCTTACTGTTCACACTCAGGGCTGTTTCCACATTTTGCATTTTTTGCATGTTGGTATGTGTGTTTCTGCCTCATCCCATTTGCTTTGTTTTTCAGAGGATCCTCATAATCTTAGGTCCATTGAAAATACCCACTATTTTCAAGGACTATTGTTGAATAAGAAAAAAAATATGTATTTTCTCTTATTTCTCTGTATGTTATAATTTCTAGGGATTTTTGTTGGAAGGGGTGGCTGTTGTGTATGCTCAGTTCTCCATTTTGATTCAATCCTTGTTTGCCTCCATAGTATTTGTGTATATTATGTATCAACTACTTATTTAGATATCTATCAGTTATAATACTGTGAGCTTCTTCAGGGTACCTGGCATGTAAAAGATACTTAAGAAACATTTGTTGGATTAATCAAAATTTTATTAGAGATGGAATAAAAACTAGAACCCAGGTGTGTTGACATACAGTCTAATGCTTATCATATAACTTTCTTCAAGTATGAGAAGCATTAAGTTTTCAGAAATTTCTCTTCCTATCTAAAATGTCCCAGTGTTTTCTTTTAGTATTTCCTCAGAAGATGTGTTTCCAAGTCTATTAATTTTTTATTTTTATTGCTTTTCTTAAGACCATTTCTCTTAAGTTACAGAGTTGAAAGCAGAACACAGAAGTCTAATAAATGCTGGCTGTTGCTTTTTGTTTTATGTGGGTTATGTGATTGAATATGGATAGCGGATTAAATATTTTCTTCAATATCCCCCAACCATTTTGAGGGAGGTGTGAATTTTTAAAAATCATTTTCTAACTTCTCTCTTCTAGATGAATGTGAAAACAGGAAAAGGGTGGGTGGATGTTGGAAATACTCTGCTTGCTGATGAATTTTTTCAAGCTGCCATGGTGGTAAGTTACCATTGATTTTTAACTGTGGCAGTTATTAGTAACATCCGTGGTCATTCTCATGATTACATTGTGTTGTGGTTTTATTTTCCAGAGTCTGGAGGAATTATATGTCAGATTAATGCAGAGGAGCTCCACTGAGGCCCACTTGACCATGCAGAAGATTGCTGTAGAGAAGGACCTCTTCAAAGTGCTTTCTTACCAAGCAGAGTCTGTAGGTATCACAGGCACCAGGGTCTTACAGTGGGACATTTTGTATATGTAAATACAAAAGTGATGAAATGTAACCTAGTAGAAGAAAGTCAGGTGTCACTGGCCTTTTATAGGGTATTGATTTGACCTTTTTTTATTTCTGTCTTATATCTGAAGGTGACTGCTAATGGTGAATGCAATCTGTGGAGGATGGGTGAGGGTGAAAAGACTGATACATAGCTAAACGTCATTTTGAACCAATGCAGATAACTTCTCTTGCTTATTTATGACAGTAGCTTCTACTTGAAACACTTGTCTCTGTTTGTGACTCCCCTCTTACCTTCACAGTATGCCTAAAGTATTTGTCTGAAAAGAGCCTTCTCGTTTACAATTGTTCTGAGTGGTCTGTTGGTGTTTTCTAAAAGTCTGCTTCTATCATACAGTGTTCAGAGTTGTACTTTACCTCTGTTTGCCTTGTGGGTTTCCTTTTGTCATCATGCAGTTAGGTATACATTTTCACTTGGCAAAATGTAAGCTAAATGTAAGCTGTGATGAGTTTGTTTTCTGTAATCACATAATTCACAATGAAAGAGGCTATAAAAATCATCTAGTATAATTTCTTTATTTTTATTTTTTAATATCATTATTAAGATATAATTACTATATCATAAAATTCACCTACTTACAATGTACAATTCAGTGATTTTAGTATATTCACAGAATTGTGTAATGGTCACCACAATCTAACTTTAGAACATTGTTGTCATCCCTAAGAGAAAGCCTCTACCTGTTAGCAGTCATTCCCCATTCCTCCTGACGCTAGCCTTAGCAACCACCAAACTACTTTTTTTCTCTATAGATTTGCCTATTCTGGGCATTTCGTGTAAATAGAATCATATAGTAACTGATCTTTTGTGATTAGCTTCTTACACTTAGCATACTTGCATGTTGTAGCACTGTTATAGCATTTTGTTCCACTGAATGGATGGGCCATGTTTTGTTTGTCCATTTACCCATTGATGGACATTTGAGTTGTTTCCAATTTTTGGCTATCATGAATAATTTTACCGTGAACATTCACGTACAGATTTTTGTGTCTACATATATTTTTATTTCTCTTTGGTATATATCTAGGGATGGAATTGCTGGGTAGCATGGTAACTCTAACTCTGTGTTTAACCTTTTGAGAAACTGCCAGAATGTTTTCCATAGTAGCATCATTTTATATTCCTAACAGTAGTGTTTGAGGGCTCCAATTTCTCCACATTTATGAGTTTTATAGTCTTAGCACTTAGGTCTATGAGGTAGGGCTGTAATGTTTTGCATGTGGCTATCTAGTTGTCTCAGTACCGTTTGTCAAGAAGAGTATTCTTTCCCCATTGAATGGTCTTGGCACCTTTGTCAAAAATCAATTGATCATAAATGTGAGTGTTTATTTCGGGACTCTTCTTCATTTGATCTATACATTTATCCTTACGCTACTACCACACTGTCTTGATTATTGTAGCTATGTAGCAAGTTTTGAAATGGAGAAGTGTGAGTCCTCCAATTTTGTTCTTATTCAAGATTGTTTTGACTATTCTGGGTCTCTTGCATTTCCATATGAATCTTAGGATCAACTTGTTAATTTGTGCAAAGAAACCAGCTGGAATTTTGATAGGGATAGCATTGACTCTGTAGATCAATTTGGGAAATATTGCTATCTTAATAGTATTAAGTATTCTGACCCATGAACATGGGATGTCTTCCCATTTATTTAGGTTTTGTTTAATTTCTCCTTATTTTTTAAATGATGAAACTGAGGTTTAGAGAGAGGCCGTGATTTAGTTGAAGACCTAAGACCAGAACCAAGATTTTATGATATTCAGTCTAATGCTCCCTATACTGCAAGTTAGATTGATTGTATAAATGATTTCCCTTTTGATAATTTTGTCTTGATTTTTAATGTTAATATCCTTTGTGGGATACTTTAACTACTGAAAAACTGGTATGAAGTCCAGTAGGTTTTGGTTTTATATCTTAACTCTTTTACCTACTTGCTCTGTGACCTTATGCTGTCACTTAACCTTTCTGAGCCTATAAAAGCCAATATTTCTGTTAAGAAATCAACTGTCTATATATAAGATTGTGACAGAGGTACATTTGGCATGACAGTAGTTCAAGTGAAAAATACCTGTGTTTTAATTGTCCACAAACTCAAGATTAAATCAGTGATGTGATGTAGCTGCAAAAACAGCTAGCACAATCTTAGGCTATGTTAATAGATATATAGTGTTCAGATCGAGGTAGGCATTCTGTACTAGTTAATTCACATTTTGAGTATTGTGATCAGTTCTAGGCATCACACTTTAAAATCAATGGCATAGGGTGGAAAATATATCATGTAAAAAATATTTGGAGAATATAGTGAGGTCTTCCTGGAAAAAAAGAAGACAGTAGGGATGATAGCTTTTTTTTGCAAATTTTAAGGACTGTCTTATTAAAGAGAAATTAAACTCCACAGGATAGAATGAAGACCAATGGGTAGAAAGTATAGGAAAACAGATTTTGGCTTAAAGTAAAGAGTAACCTTTTATCGGTGATAGTAATTGCTGTGGGTTAAATGTCTCCCAAAAGTTCATGTATCGAGGGCTGGCCTATGGCTCACTTGGGAGAGTGTGGTGCTGATAACACTAAGGCCATGGGTTTGGATCCCTATATAGGAATGGCCGGTTAGCTCACTTGGGAGAGCGTGGTGCTGACAACACCAAGTCAAGTGTTAAGATCCACTTACTGGTCATCTTTTTAAGAAAAAAAAGTTCATGTATTGGAGACTTGACCCCCATTGTAAGTGTTAAGAGAGTGGGAAATCCAATTATGGTATTTGAAAGGTGTGGCCTTTATGAGGTAATTAGTTTGTGAGGACTGTATCCTCGTGATTGGATCGATCCATTCATGGAGTAATGGGCCATGGTTCTCATGGCTTTAAAAGGAGACCAAGTGACAAAGTTAGCTCTCTTGCTCATGGCAATTCTCACCATGCATCTCCATTGGACTCTACAGAGAGTTCCCACCCAGAAGAAAGCCCTCACCAGATGTGCCCCCTGGACCATGGACCTCCTAGCCTCCAAAACTGTAAGAAATAAATTTCATTTCTTCACAAATTACTCAGTTTCAGGTGTTCTATTATAAGCAACAGAAACAGACTAATACAGTAATCCTGTAATGGAACAGCTTTGTTGCAAGATTATAAGTTTGTTGTCACTGGCTGACTTTAAGCAAAGGTGTGAACATCCTATGAATTACATATTATAGAAGGGATTTCTTCATTTGGTAGGAAATTAGATTGCTATGACCCTTAAGTTTCTTCTTAACGCTAAGATTCTATGATTCTAGAAAGTCCTGTAGCATTTTTTTTTCGTGTTGTGTATGTTGCTATCTAAATGTTAACTTTTTTAGCTGGCTGAAAGTTTTAGTAGTTATGGTCTGTAATGAGAACTATATAATTCTTGGGCTAGCTGGTTAGCTCAGTTGGTTAGTGTTGTGTTGTTACACCAGGTTAAAGGGTTCAGATCCCCATACTGACCAGCTGCGAAAACAAACAAACAAAACTCTATAATTCTTAACTTTAATCGGTTATGGCATCTTCAAAAGTTGGAGTGAAGGCTAATTCTTTTTGCTGTAAGTTTATTTTCCATATCTAAGACATTCTCACAATTAGGGTCTATGGGTTTTTTTTTTTTTTTTTTTTTTGATGTCTCCTTGGCAGAAGACATCTTTTAAAACCACTGTTAACAGTGTTGTGCTTGCTAATGGGTTTTCTCTGTCCCAATAGTGCTCCTGAGATATTTCTGAGAGATCTGTATAGGCCTTATCTTCTTCTAGGCACTTACCATTGAACAATTGCTTTATTTATTAAATCATTTAGCAGAGAATGAGTATCTTCTACAAACAAAGTACTATGCTAGGCTTTGTGGGGGAATGCAAATAATCACATATCCTCACTATAACTATATATATAACTATAACCTCAAAGAGGTTATAGTTTAGGTGAGATAAAGGATGCATATACAAGATAGAATTACGTACCAAAAGAGTTGTATAGGTAAATGATCTACATGCAGTGTTCAGTGCTATGTATGAATGGAGGTGTAAGGTATGGTCACTTTCCTAAAGAAAATTATAATATAGTTTGGGAGCTAGACCATAAATACATTTTTTAAAAAATGGAAAAAGGAAAATGTCGGGCCTCCCTGAGCCAGAGGCCGACAAAACCGAGCGGGAAGAGACCCCGGTCCAGCCGGGGGTCCCTTGTGGGGCTGAGCGGGATGATGAGTGTCGCTGGCACGGCCCTCCCCCCCCAGGACCTTCCTCCCCGGGGGCCGAGAAAGAACACCGCCGAGCCAGGAGAGTGGTCAAAGCCGGAACTCCGTTTATTAGAAAGGTGTTGGAGTTTATATAGAGGAAGAAAGCGGAAACAGAGAGGAGAGGCGGGAGGAGATGGTTATCCAATCAGGGGAAGCCACAAGTTATGAAGAGGGGTGATGACAGGGCGGGCAAAAACTGCTTAGTCACTGGGCCCCGGAAAAGAAGGACTTCTAGCTACGTGCATTAAAGCGCTCATGAAACGGCGGCGGAGGCCTTACGCCAGCAAGATGGCCACCGCTTGATCTATTTTAGGGAACAGGAACCATACTTAGGCAGGCGCCTTATGATTTGATTGCGCCGCAACATGGCCCAACAGGAAAATATTAAGTGCCAAATGAGTGGCATAGATCAGGTGGGATACAGACTTTGTCTAAGGTGATTACATGACCTTCATAACAATGGTTAAAAGTGTACTTTTCTTCAATCCCTATATCTGCCCACAAGGTGATGGATACTCTTCTGTTTACTCTTGTGCCGTAGATTATCCATCCGTAATATTTTAGCATTGTAGATCTCTTTCTGCTGTCTGCATCATCTGCAGATGCAAGGGCCATCTGTTATGCTTTTGCTCCTTCCCCCATTTAGGGTAAGACCATTTGTAGAAGCTGTCAAGGG